ATTTTTAAAAATATTAAAATATCAGCTAGAACATGCTTGGAAGTTCGATGGTAAATTGTTTGCTAACTCGCAGTACCCGTGACGTGTGTTGTAAGTTGTAACTAGTACACAAATACAAAAATACACAATTCATATTATATATTACTATACTAGTCCGTCAGAAATGAAAACATTTGGAAACACGTTGAAAATGTCAAAACTCTCGAGAACAATTTGATATATCATATGATTATCACTATTATTATAGGTACGGTAACAACACTGACAATAATTATTAAACACACGCGCATAGTATGTACATACATTCTCCTAAAAAAGTGCCCCTTGCTCGCGATCGGCGTCTGTCACGTACGCGGTCGTCCTCGGTCAGCTAATTAACATTGTACGCGTCTGTTGTCCGTCCATCCGCTAACGTCGACCCAACTCCCCCAACGACGGCTAATGAACCAAACCTTGAGATTTTTTTAGCAATTATACAACATACAATGGTTGTATAGGCACGACAATAGTAAAAGCATAGCAATTAGGCATATAATCGAGTTTTCCTTTGCTTCGTAACCCCTTTTTAGATTTTCGGATTTAAGCCCGAACCGTGTATAATATACTATATTATACAGTTTGAAAGCCACAGACACGCCGATTCGTTAAAAATAAAAAATATATATTAAGAGATTCTGTTAGCAATGTGCAGCTCCCTTCCTTATACGTTGTACATGGCGTACAGTAGGTACTTGAAAAGTACCTCAATAACTATTCGAAACTTTGACAAATACCCATAACGAGAAAATTTGAGAATTTTTTAAAAACATCCATTGTATATCCATTAAGGCAATAGATCTAATTCAAATAATTTAAAATAGAAACCAATTTGGTAACAGTGGTAACTAACATCTACTTGTCATCTTATCACGCAGAATCATCAACAATTCCTAGGCGCATGGCTATTATATTATTGTCGCGTGTTGAGTGTTGTTATTTTCGTTATTGTTATAGGTACCATTATTATTGTATTATAAGCATCGTGCTCGCAGGGGTTATTTTAAGGTCACAGACCTGCTCGTAGCATGATATTGTTTTTATAAGATACATTATGTAATTTAATTTAAAATTCTGTCAATACTGCAGGTATTATAAAACTATCATGGTAAAAAAACATTTTTTTTAATTCTCATTGAAGTACAGAAATAATGTATTTAGTGCAAAAAACTAAATTAAATATAAATGTTTTACACGAACTACTCTACATAATTGCCATTTGTAAGTGCAAGCACTAAGGGGATTTTCCCATAAATAACATACTGTATAATACATCTGTACAAACGCTGAGTGAACTTAAATGTTTAATATATCAATATCAGAATATAAATGTAAATATGTATATATTGTGGATGTATAATGTATATTAGTATATTATTATATATTAAAAAATGTATAAAATATCAACATATCGTGGTAATTATAGCATTGGCTTAACAGTTAACACCCGGCCGAATTGCCTGCTATATGGGTAACCTATATTATATAATAATGTAATTATAATGTATATTTTTATAGAGTGGTTGTCTGTTAATTGCCGTCGGCGGGTTCGAAAAACAAACAATAGGTAGACGTATCGCCTAACGCACGGGCACGCTTATCATTGCTATCATTAAAAAAACAAATATTGTCCTTGTAATCAACGCATAAAAACTGTGATAATTTATAAAAAATATCTAGCACTTTTATTATTCGAAGTCCTTTGAAATCCATTCAACCTATACCTATACGAAAATAAATTTCTAAATGGCACACACACGATGATTGGAAAGATTATTTAGAAAAGGGATGACCGAGGGTACTCAACGTCTTTACCACCCCACATTTCGAGGTTAGGCTAACAGTTTTTTGTTTTAAATGTTTAATCGCAAGTAATCTACCATTATTTTCTATAATTCGGTAAAAAGATCGATTGTAGTAGCCAATAGAACGTTAATTGTAATTGTTATTATGGTGCACTTGCATAATCTTATAATAAACAAATAAATAAATAATACGTAGTACGTATACCGTATGCGGTACTTATACCTATATAAATACATACTATTATTAATTATTATTTGATTACTACATAATATAGGGATGAAGCCTGGTTGATTACTCTATGTGTACGGACCGTAAATGTTTAACCTAATTACTTTGTAACAATGTAACCAGGTACCTACATCAGTTGTATTCGAATATTGAGTTGTTAATATTTCCAAGACCAATTGAATGTATTAGGTAGAATAAATATATCGTCTATATTATATTCAATAATTACGAACTAATCACCCATCGTATGCATATTAATTATTATGTATTTGGCGTATGGCGTATATCCTCCATATATGTAACATGAATCATGTCAATCATGATGAATATCGACCTATGCTGGTAAATCACAATTGCAATATTATAACTGCAATGTTGTTTCAATAAAGTTTTAAAGTATTAAAATTACGACAGGTATAAAACTTATATTTAATGCGTTAAAAACGGTATGGAACACACCAAGCATCAATATACACAGTGAAAAAAGAAATCATTATAATCATCGATGGATCGGTGTAAATGAGAAACCGTGACTTTTAATTATCTATATATGCAAAATATTATTGACTTTTAGTGACTGGTACACGGTTGCATTAAAAAATCCAGTGAATACGTATAATATTGTAATACACGCGATACATATAAAAAAAAACCGCACACGACCGTCGAACTGGTTGAATAGGAGAAAGTCGCGTGGAAAGTACGCGTATTGACGAGCAAAATCTATCCACAACAATGGACCGGTCCGCGCGATAAATGTTTAAAATCGAATATTACTTGTGTCGCCGAGCCGGTAGCTTTGATCAAATTTTTTTGCACCGATCGTGGAACGCGCCAATTATTTTATTACCATACGGCAATACACATATATGATAGCGGGTAAACGGGTAAACGGAAATGGGTGCCGAAATGCGTTTGACCCACATGGTGATAGTGAAAAAAGAAAATAACAAGGGCACAGTTAAATTTACATTAATTCACGGGCGTTCATTTTTATTTTATTCGGATATCAGCAGATATTTATAGCTCGTGTTTCTACAAGTCCCGACAAATGAAAATACGAAAACTCATGAATATATTATGCGATATATGTAATTGTGTGGTCCCTACATTTATTAATCTCGTTCACATTGAGTTTTCAGATTTGGATTTATCATTTATGTATATTATACGAAAGAGACAAGATAACAACGTAATTTAAAAAGTTTGGGCTGTGTAACTTTTTGAAAAAGTTCTGATTACATTCATGAGAAAATAATTTTTTTTCTTAATACGGTTTCACATAAATACATAATACCTAACACTTATATTTATTTTAATACAAAGTACATAGTTTGTTTAGGATATTACAGAATGTGTTTCGGTTATATTTTTAAAATACATACTGCACGTTATGCATCATAATGTATGACGGTTAATGATAGTTTTAAATTAGCGGTTATTTAACCTTGTTGGAAAAGTTAAGGAATTTTCTAATGAGTAAAATTGTAAAACCTATGTTTTTCTACATAGGTAGGTACATAATGTTATATTGATAATTACATTATACCTACATATTATTATAAGTTATAAGTTACATCACAGAACTTACTAATTTATTTAAATATTTCAAACATTTAAATGACTATAAATACTATGCAGCATACAATTGTGTATTGTACCTATACATATTTTGTATTCTATACCTCTGAACCACAATCATTTAAAAACAAAAACAATCAATTAATAACAATAGGAACGGGTAACGGCTAAATAATAATAATTATTGGCAGTCCGGTCAATAACTATCAGCATTTATAACCGTCAAATTAATGTTTTAACTGATAGTTTATTATTTTTTATTTTCCATTACCTACACGTGTTAATTTTTATGTGATTTATTAACTTTATATTACAAATTATAATACTTATTACAAAAAATCACAGTAAAAGTAAATCGCAAATTGGCAACGGTATCACTATGTTTGCAAGCAAGTTTAAGTTTTTGGCAATTCTGTTAAATTAATAGTTGAATCCCTTGGCGACCACATGTCGTGAATCGTGCTGGTGACTCTGCGATTAAAAAAACGGTATAAGTTATAACTCACATACACGATCCACACGTGTGGACGTGTGGTAGACGAACTCTTATATTCTCTTACTTGGATTTATATTAAACAAAACGGCGTTTAGCCACATGGCAGAATCGCGAGGACTAGCGAAGCAAATAATATATAAAAATCAACTTTACAAACGACCAGTTTGACAACGAGCTCAAGCCTAACCGTTTCCGGTCTGCCACCGTCGTCAGCTTATCGTATTAAAAACTTCCGGTTATCCGGTCCAAAAACCCTCTTATCCAGCACATTAATAATAATACAAGTATTATATTAATATTACCGTGCCCCACCACTACAGTCTACAACACATGCAAATATATTGTAATAATTCAATAAACAAACATAAATAAGTTATAAAAATATAATATTAGATATTACACCTAATAGTTAATACTGTTCTTCTCCTTTCTCCGTCGACCATATCCTCCTCGGTTGTTTGTTTCGTCGGCTTACCTACGCGCTCTGATTGAGCCGAGTAACCTTAAAAATCCGTCTAAATCACCGTCGAGAGTCGTAATATAACCATTAATCACCCAGCCAAGCATATAAAACCCAGTAACCTTAAGATTCAAATGCATTTAGTAGCAACATCCGCTAATTGAAAAATTCGTTAGTAACACAATGCGACTGCGGCTACCCAGCTATTACCGCCGGCGATTCAATTCGAATTTTTTTAATAAAAATATGGGAACTGAAGAAAACTTTCACTCGGGACTGTGGAAGATTTAATTGATCGCGAACGAATAACTTTCAGTTTCGAAGATCTGATGAGCGTCTGACGTTTTTTTTTCCGAGTAAACGACTCGAAAAAAGGTTTGGCTGATAATAAAATCAACTCCAAAGGAGGATCAAAGGATGCCGATCGACCGATGTACACGTGTATAAGAAAACCACGGCCATCCCGCTTGTCTTACCTCGATCGACGTCTAGATCGTCAAAATCGTCGCGGGCGCCCTTCAGACACGATTGAAACCCTTTGCTGAACCTCCGGGTGATCGTGCCGGTGCTGTGCGCCGGACTCACGGGCGGTTGATGCTGTACGTCCGGCAGATCGTTCATGACGGACAGCATTATGGTCCGCGAACGGGTCAAAAGATAAAAAGTAAACGCGCACACGTCAATCCGATTCGGACATTCCGGCGAAATATGATTACGACAAAATATGAATGAAAACCGATTCTAAAATCGCGACGAAAAGCGTGACGGCGGAGATCGAGCTAACCAACGCGCTAAACGCACGGATCGACTGCCGGATGAACACTGCTGGCTGAGCCGACTGCGGAGGCCCTCGACGTCGGTCGAGACAACGTCGCACGTTGGGCGAGGCGGAACGCGCGCGCCGCCGACGACGACGATACGAAACGAGACGGATAGTGTTAATGTGTTATTATAACTTATAACTATAGGTATAATAGGTACTGGCGCACGCTGTGTCGCAGGTCATAATCGTTCTCGTAATAATGATATCATAATGATGATAATAATATTATTAATTAATAATCAACGAAGTGAATAATAATTATTTCGAATAATGTACGAACGCGGTATACACATCATAATATATTATATTATATATAGATATGCATAAAATATAGGTTTCTCGTGGATTTTCGTATACTATTGTTCGTTTTTATTGATGCACAATCGGACGAAAATAATAATAAAACAGTAATCCACTGTATACTTGGTAATAGTATTATTATTAATATCAAAATTGCCTGTACGGGCTGTACGTGTATGTTTAACCACCGTATTTCACCCAAATCGATCAACACGAATGATATAAAAATTATTTCTGGGACAGATAATCAGAAATTCTTATAATCCCTTAAGCTTATAATAATATCGCGTGCGTATACCTACATCATTGAATTATATATTAGTAATCAATACTTTTTACCACGATTAGTATATAGGTAGTTATAATTTTATTATTTTTTTAACATTCCACGAGCGTGTTTAAAATTTAAACAACGTGAACCGTGGAATAAGTGACATTTTAATATTTTATGACAAGATATTAATACCAAGATTTTTTTATATATTATATTCCATTTCACTCGCATAACGCAGTCTACATCTGATACAGTCATAAACATTATAGTGTATAATATTATATATTGGCCGTTAATAACTGTCAAAATATATAACATGTGTGATGAAAATGCAATTAAAAATAAAATCGCATACATCTTGTTAAATTATGATTTTTAACGAATTTCAAATTTCTAATAGAAATAGCGGAATCGCAAGGAGATCGCATATGCATCAAATTGTGAAAGGTAGTTTAAACGGTGATTTTAAGTGAGAAATGAAATGATTATTATTTGTTATATTATTAGTAAGCTATTTAGTTGTAACGTCGTTCAAATGATACACCTTAGGTACATGTTTTTTAACCAATGTACAGTTAATGAACTTTCACTTGATTAAAACCATTTTTCTTCGCCATTTAAAACATAAACGAAACATCTAAGGTATAATGAATAACACAACAAATACTGAGTTCTTAGTGACTGAATCAAATAAAAAATTGGTACACACTTATCATTTATGAACATAAAAACTGAAATAACGACAGAAGTATTATTACGGAAATACGACTAACGAGATAATATACGACGTGGGTGTAATGTCACAGAAACGTAGGAGAACAAACTGTCCGCCAGTCCGATGTTATATCCACCGGTTCGTGTTCTTGGGATATGGCCTCAACGTGGTTGACATAATAGTATATTATACTTGCAAGTAATTTTTACTTAAATCGAAACAAAATAAATCCATGTACCTACTGTTCTGTTAGGTCAATGTAATGTATATATTTTATTTATTGTATAACGATAAGACGTAAACCTATATTACGTGCGAGACTTAATAAGGCAAGTCGTGTATTTTGTTATTATTTCTTATTGATATTTAAACGAAACAGTTTGAAAACGGAATAAACCATTATTCATCAATATTAATAATATTGTTATTTAATAAATTATTATTATCCAAACTCAGATCCACGTATATAGTATTATAATACTTTATATTCGTTGATAAGGTAATACATTTAATAATAAAAATATTAATATAATATAACTAATAGAATACGGTGTTAAACCGAAAGAACAACATATGGAATGCGATTGCGTTTCATAACATATAATATTATAATACCTATACTATGAGAAACTGCTATATGAACTTAAAAAAAATATTACGTAACGATATACATATGTACGGGCTCTTCGAGTACTACAGGTAGATACTGGGCATTAGGTATTATGTACTATGTCGTGCAATTTATTTCGTTAAACCAAGTTAAATAATACAATGATATGGTTTAAAAATTAAAAAATTTAACTACGTGTAATATTCTCACGCTTTCAGAATAATAAATCTGTACGACAAATGACGTAAAAAACAACACAACAAATGTACGTTTGCTGATGTTATGTTGTATGTGAAATTCGTAAAATAACGACTATATTATTATTATGTCTTATTATTCAGTAACGCAGTGCATCCAGCTGTTTAAGTCACTGACATCGACGACCATATTATTATAATAATATATTGTTATAAGTTACAACATTTGTCAACGCACGCCTCCGCTCCAATTTTTACGTTATATCTTATATTTTATCGTTATAGGTTACTCATATAGTGTGTACAACGTGCGTGTATTTTTATAGTATTATATTATAATATTCAAATGACTGCAAATTATGCTTACGTTGTACATTTTAACCATTAATAGTGTAAAATAATGTGTACAGCAATACTGAAACTACATTGACAGCCTTTCGTGTATCTACCTAGTGTATTCATTTTCTATGTAATTGTTATTAAATTACCTATATTTGATTTTTGAGTGTTTTCGATCGAGTACGGCGGAGTATCTTAGTCTGTATTGAATATCATATTTTGTATTTTTGTTCAGCTGAATGATTTCGAAATGTATATTATATATATTTTATACAGTATTGTCTGTATAGATGTATACACGGAATTTAGAAAAAAACACCCACCTGCAACTGTTTAGTGGTTTGGTTGACAATAGAAACAAAAACACGTGGGTTAAGGTTACGAGTTCAGAGTCTATGAAGTACAACTAAACTGTAGTTCTTATAACAATTCAAAACTATTGTATATTTGTATGCACGAAACTAACCTTTTATTTTTTTAACGGTGTTCATCGATTTTTATTTGTTAATTTATTTATAAATAGCTAATAAAAACGTCTTTATAGTAGTTTATACAATACATTATTCTTTTTTCTTAAATTTGTAAATTTATGATGTACCTAAATATACATATAATAATATAATTATACATTTCGTCATTTTTTAGACAACGTAATTGCTGGAATTTGTGTAAATATTAGGTAAAAATAAAAAAAAATAGTAAAATATAGATTACGAACACACTGGCTTGATCACAGACGGATGGAGCAATTTCAGTTCTTTTTTTTAGATTATTATTTTTCTATTTTATTTTTATGTAATTACTAATTAGTCATTAAAATATAGGTATATATTGTATCGGTACACTTAAAGTTATAATATGTATAGTATGGATTAAAATTTGAGTAATGTGTAATATAGAATAGTACTAGACACTAAGTATTAACTTGATTTCGGTATTTTCTATAATTTTACAATAATTATACGAAACTTCAAAGATTACTATGGTAATATTATAATATCATAGTGTCGAAACAGCCCTTGAAGTAGAAAATGTATAGGTATAACATCAAAAGTTATTTATTATTATTTATCTTTAATATTTTTTTTAAGATTTTACTTTTTTGAATAACAGTATTAATTACAATTTCTAATCCTGAAGTAGTTTTTTTTTAAAAATTTCGATATACAAAAATTGGACACGCAGACAATTCAATTTTAATCTGAAATCAACATTACCATTTAATCTATACAACGCCAATTCTTATAGTGAAGAGATGGTAGAAAACATACACTATCTGTTATTCATCTAGCGAGTTCCTGATTAACTTAATATACTACTTGTGTACGCTTTAAGTGACTTACCCATGGGAGACGGAATGCAAACTGCCGCGACGGGTCTCGCCGTCGTCTCGCGCAGCGACGTGCTGTCTTGAGCATCATCATCGTCTTGGTCCTCGTCCTCTTCCAACAGGACGGGCGGCTGATTGATCAACTCGTAACCCCATCGCTGACGGAACTTTTTCGCCCCCCCGTCTAGCCGGACCCGGGGAAGGTCCACGAACAGCGAATCGCCAATCTATATAGACAACGAAAAAGTTTTTATTTTTTAATAGAAAATAATCCTATTTACACGGCCAATGCCCACTACTATACCATCCACCAGAAAGGAATGAAGAACTTATGACAACAACCGACATTTCAGACAAGGCAATACAAATTGCTACAAATTGGAAAGCAAGGGAATTTGAATACTGCCACGAGAAGAATATACTATGATAAATATAATGCATCATATTATACATTTATACAGCTGTATGGCGACTATATATTATATTAATGGCCATTATTATACTATAGGAAGAAAGCTGCAGAGTGGACTGGCCGCTGAGACCCCCACATCCCCATGCATTAGTCCTTCTCATGATTATAATTTTAAAGCTATCCAAACATATACCATTTTGTATACAAATGGTAAGTACTTAATTGATATGTTATATATTTTATTGTCATCATTTCTTTTTTTTCAAACGTAGATATCTTACACGTCTGTATCACAACGTGCGCACCGTCAAAAAGTATCACTTGTTCTATAACACTAAGCTGTCAAAAGACTAGGTTATAAGACTAGTCAAAAACGAGCTAGATCAAAAGTCGGGTTTTCACTATACTGTGCTATGTACTAGCGTAGGATTAAAGGTGGGTTTCCACTACACACGTGTAAGTTTACGTGCATATATTGACCGGATACGTTTGCTATGAACGGTTTCACAAACGTTTCCCATCGGTTAATATGGGTCAGATCAGTTAGGATTGGTAACTTACCTCATATATTCTTATGTTATCAATATTGTTATCAATATAGAGCCGTGTACACGTGAAAAGTTGAACTGGATCCAACTTCATGGTATCATGGTCAAGCCTGTGGTAAGAAAGTATAACACTCTGGTATACCAAAAGATTACCATGTATACCAACCAATTACAGAAAAGTATTTTTATGCACGTACACGTGGAAACCCACCTTGAATATATTCATCTATAGAATATATTAAACATGTACGGACACTACACAGTGTAATCAGGAAAAATCCGGTTAAAAAATAACGCTTTTCGGTTACCACCACGGTTATTTCTTGTTTGTGGTAGGTACACAACCGTTAAACCATGGTCCATGGTCAATGCCGAACTTCAACTTATTGTCTGTTCAATTCGGTTCAATTCGACATCACTAAATATATTACATTTCGCTCATGAAAAAAGAAGACAACATGATTCATGAACGTTTATTTGGTGTTGCAGTTCTCTTTTTGCAATCATGATTCATTGATCCTTATTCGTCAATCGCTTAGCTTTTGAAATAGCGATACCATACATGATACATATTATATTTAAACGAATACGAAACAAAAGCCTTTGAATGAACTGCGTGGCAATGCAAAATGTATAATATATTATTATTGTACATTTTCACTACAGAGAATATAAGTCGTAAAGAGGGAACGAGTATAATGTATTAATGTACCTATCTACGGCCCACTTTTTGGAACATCAGTCCCTAACTTAAAAAAAAAATTGAATTAAAAAATTCAACACTTGAAAATGTTATTAATCGTTAAAAAAAATATAAATATATATTCAGAGTACGTAGATTTTATTGTAGACTTTATGCTGAATTCAAATTTGTTTTCAGAATTCTTATCCCTTCACTAGATAAATCGGTACATTGTCAATAGAATACGTCTAAAATTCTAAGTTGCGCGTGTGTTAGACAAAGAAAGAAAACTCCTACTGGAACCGATTTCCTTATTTTGTTGTAATTCAAAATTGAATAATAGTAAATAATAGGAATTTCCACTAAACGTTTCGACAAAAATCATCAAAATCACGAAAATTTGGATATTACTTTATGGTTGAAAATTCTTAATTTGTATAGCTGCCTTTGAATTTAAAATTTAAACAAGGTTTCTTATTAGTAATTCGTGGAGTAACCAAAAAATATAAACAACATAACGAAGAATAACGAAATTAGTTTATTGGTTGTAATTTAAATATGTTATTATAGTGGTTACTTGAAATTTTAATGTATTTATATTATTATAATTTATATAATTATATGTAGGCTACTAGGCACATATGACATTTTCAAACATTGCATTTCCAGCAAAAATTAATACAACCTACTGCTTATTAATTACTTTAATAACAATAATATCTTAAATATATTTCGAAATATAGGATGACAGACCAACTACGTAAAAGTCGTAAACAACTATACAATGATAATATAATATAATAATATCATTGAATTCAAATTTAACTCATCCATGATCCATTACAGTAACCTACATGATACTTAATATACAGAAAAGTGGTATCCACTTGGCCACCTTTTTTTTTTTTATTTATAACACAAATACATATACAATTTTATCAAATGTAACTAAGTATTCAAAATATCATCTCGTTTATCTTTTTATAGTAAACTAACTATTTTAGATTCTGAGAGGAGCGAGGAAGCTAGTGGTTTTACAATGATGTTTTTTTTTATCCTGTAAACAAAATTTCTACCAGAAGGAGTTCTTCAATTTCAACATATATTTTACTTATATTTTAGCAAATAGGATCAAGATGGTACTTTAGAGAGGTTTCGATTTTCTCAATAGTTTTTTAACGCCACGGTAAAAACCACCAACATTTATTTTTCTAACTCATTTTTTTTCCAACGCTTTGTTTATCATTAACACCATAGAAACGAATACAATTTAAAAATTACCTAATTCACATTAGGTATATTATATACAACTAATGGTTACTTATTAATACATATTTATGAATCATACATTTTTCTTTCGTCCGATCAGAATCGTTTTTTATCGAACTCAATCATTGCATTCAAATTGAATACTGTAATAATACACTAACCTGTCCGAGGACCAAAGAGACGATGGACAAACTTCAGCCCTATACTATGGCCCTTACTTCACCCCGCTGCACCCCTTTTTTTATATCTTAAATAACGATGTGAACATCTTTAGATTTATATATGATTGTACAAAGTACAAAGTACCTACGTCGAATCTTAAGTACCTACTATAGTAAATATTAAATAGAAAAAAGGTGGGCAAGTGGGTGTCGCTCTGCTGTACAGTAGGTTACAAGTGGGTCACTGTATAATAGATGGTATTAAATTTGAATTCAATGATATAATATCATTGTATAAGAAAAACGATTCTGAGCGGTGACGGTATGTCAGTCTATGTATAAGACATATTATATACATATCTATGGTATTAAACAAAAAATTGACCTATAATAGGTACCTATAAATAAATTCCAAATTAATCATATCACAATATCCATTAGATACTTATAACGCGTTATACATCAACAAAAACCGTGATACTATCATAGATATATAATAGTACACTTTGGAAGTTTCAAGTACCCACGAATAATATTATTCAATCACAACAAAATAACTAAAATAGTTATTCTAGGTTTTTTAATATGTAATTTCGTCCAAATTTTAATTTAAAATGTCTGTAAAAAATAAGTGTGTTCATATATTTTTTAGATTTTTTGGTTATAGTATGAACTATTTATGAGAACCTTTGTGTTGAATTTGTAATCCTTAGCTATAAAAACTGAACATTTTATAATTTTTTAATTCCAACGATTGATAATTTTCGAGATTTTGATAAATTTTGTCAAAATTCCAACTTTAAATGCTTATAAAAAAAATCGTGCCTATGTATTTTTAAAATTTTTCAACTGATATTGTAACAATATATAAGAAAGCTTGTATTAAATTTTCAGACTTTTTGGCCCAAAAAATAAAACTTTATTGATATTCATAGAAAAAAAAACTAAAAAAATTGAAAACTGAAAATGTCCGTAAACAGCTCAAAAAGAGTCAAAATATTTTCAAAATTGTATTTTGTATAATATTATATAATCACAACAAAATAACTAGGTTTTTTAATATGTAATTTCGTCCAAATTTGAACATAAAATGACTATAAAAGTAAACTGTGATTGTATATTTTTTAGATTTTTCGGTAAGAGAATTAACTACTTACGTGGAATCTTGTTTTAAATTTTCAATCCTTAGCTATAAAAACTGAACATTTTATAATTTATTAATTACGATGATTAATAATTTTCGAGATTTTGAAAAATTCTATCAAAATTCAATGTTAAAATGCTTATAAAAAAAATTGTGCCTATGTATTTTTAATATTTTTCAACTGATATTGTAACAATATATCAGGAGCCTTGTATTAAATTTTTACACTTTTTGGCCCAACAGATAAAACTTAATTGATATTTATAGAAAAAAAAAACTAAAAAAATTGAAAACTGAAAATGTCCGTAAACGGCTCAAAAAGTGTCAAAATATTTTCAAAATTGTAGGGTGTATAGGAAATGCTAATATAAACATTCAGTGAAATTTTCATGTATCTACAGTAATTCGTTTTTTAATTACAACAAAAAAAGGAAATTGCCACATGAGAAATCGAGTGAATATCCAATGTTGTAAAAATTTGAATTTCAAACGCTCATAAAAATTTAATTTGACTTTCCGGTAGAAATTTTTTTATTGATAAAGGTAGACAATCTTATGAGTAATCTTGTATTAGATTTTCAAATCTTAGATTTAAAAAGAAAAATTTTTACGAATTCTTAACTCAAAATAATTTGCTAATTTTCGTGATTTTTCCATATTTTGTCAATTTTTGAACTTTAAATGCTTATAAAAAAAAATTGTGACTAAGGATTTTTAATATTTTTCATCTGCCTTTGAAACAACATATTAGGAGCCTTCTATTAAATTTTCAAGCTTTCGCAACCAACAAATAAAATTTTATTGATATTTTTAGAAAAAAAACTAAAAAAAAATGGAAAATGAAAATGTCCCTAAACAGTTCAAAATAAATCAAAATATTTTGAAAATGTTATCGTGTATAGAAAATGCAAATATTAACAACCAGTGAAAATTTCATGTATATACGTTCATTTGTTTTAGAGTTACACCAATAACCAAAATCGATTTTTTGGAAAACCAATTTTGCGTAAAAATTCCCGTTTTTCCTTAATTTTTATGTTGTTTTTCGCGGCGCTTGTGAAAACTACTGGGAAATTTATACTTTTGACCCCCCAAAGTACCAACTAGATTCACTTTCCTATCAGAAAAGCTACTGATAAAGAAAATCCAAGCACTTTTACTGTCCTAAAACGTGATGACAGACACAAAAATATATATAAAAAAAAAAAAAAACACACATCATTGTAAAACCAATACATTCATCGCTCCGCTCAGAATCTAAAATAAAATCACCATAATCATACATTATCATTAAACATTAGTTAGTAATACCATTATTTCTGTAAATAATCATTTTCAATTATACTATAGATACTCAGTAGTTAATACATTTATTCTTTTAAAATATCAACGTATGCGTGTACGAGTTGTTTATTTATTCCAATAAGGTAAACAATGAAAATATGTATAGTATACTATTTGAAAATAAGTTACTTTATACCTAAATATATTATAACAGTTTTATTAGGTATAAAAATAGGAAAATAGTTTTTTCATGATGAAATATGTTTTATCTCAAACAAATGCAGATACATAAAATAATGGTTATAATATAGAATTTGATAAAATAAAATATTATTTCTAATTTTAGATATTATTTTTAGTATTCTTCGTACGTATCAGCTTCATTGGTCAACTGTGGCTCAAATTGTTGGTTTGCACTTTCGCCTATGGTCCTAAACTGAGATTTATTTTGTTGTTCTTTAATTTTCTTCATTAAATCGTTTATTCTTAAAATAATAGATGAATGAGAAAATCTATTTGTATAAAGCGCATCATTTAGATTAAAAGCTGTTGTTGTTTCCTGAGAAGTCATAGACATTGATTCGTCGTCTTCCTGCTGGTTTTCATCTGTTGTAATAGGATTCGATTTGTCTTCTGTTTTGATAGAATTAAATTGTATAGAGTTCGAGTCGACTTCAGTCTGAGTTCCTTCTGTTGTTAAAAAACTCGATTCGTCTTCAGTCTGGAAATCTTCTGAAGTTATGGGATTCGATTTATCTTCAGTCAGGGTTTCTTCTGTTATTGTAAAAATTGATTCTTCTTTGGTCGAGTCTTCTTTAAGCACCAGAGAGTTCGATTCATCTTCTGTCTTGGTTTCTTCTGTAATTATAGAATTTGATTTATCTTCAGTCAGGGTTTCTTCTGTTGTTAAAAAACTCGATTCGTCTTCAGTCTGGAAATCTTCTGAAGTTATGGGATTCGATTTATCTTCAGTCAGGGTTTCTTCTGTTATTGTAAAAATTGATTCTTCTTTGGTCGAGTCTTCTTTAAGCACCAGAGAGTTCGATTCATCTTCTGTCTTGGTTTTTTCTGTAATTATAGAATTTGATTTATCTTCAGTCAGGGTTTCTTCTGTTGTTATAAAACTCGGTTCGTCTTCAGTCCGGAGTTCTTCTGAAGTTATGGGATTCGATTTATCTTCAGTCATGGTTTCTTCTGTTGTTATATAACTCGGTTCGTCTTCAGTCCGGAGTTCTTCTGAAGTTGTAGGATACAATTCAGCTTCAGTCGGAGTTTCTTGTGTAGTTTTATAATCCAATTCATCATTTTTTGTTGTCGTAAAGATTGAATCTTGTTCTGACGTTTCAGGCAATAGTTTTACTATTTTTACAGTGGGAGATGATACTCTCAAAGTATCTGGATCCGATTCTACTGATTGAGGATCTTCAAAGACGGTATTTGGAATTTTTGAACCAAGGATCCACACAGAATCCGATGAGTACGGAGATTTGTAAGTAGGGAAGACAGATGTCTTTTTGATAGCTAGTAGGTTTATGGAAATGCCACTTTCTTGTGTTGATGGCCCTGTTAGATATTTGTATATTGGTGAACTTAGGTAATTGTAGTCATAGCTGCTATCTTCTTCCGGAAATAAACTAGGGATGTCCCGCACTGAAATATACTCTGTATCGTAGAGAGGATTCTTTAGCTGATATTGAGTCCTTGGAACCGAATTCAAGTCATGGGTAGACGTTTTTACATTCTGACACAAAGGTTTGAACGTGTCGATTCTGGAATCTAATCCCATTGATGGCTCTATTGGATTCTGTAATGAATTTAACATAAATATTATTTACATTTTAAGACTAATAAATATATTACAGACACGTGTATAAAACTCATAGAAGTTAAAACACACCCTGAAATTGGTTAAATTGGCATTTTTGCTCTCAACTTATCAACGAACAAATTACTTTAAATTTAAACAAAAGATAAATGGAAATAGAAAAAAAAAACTTACGTAATGATATCCATAGGAATATGGGATCGGAATAGATCTTTGCCGCCTTTCCATCAACTAAAAATAGATGAAAAAAATATACAAAATTATGATAAACGTACCTATTTAATACATACGCCTGTTTAATTATTTTCTGTACAATTACCTGATTATATGTCTGACTTCTTGGATTGTAGAAAGTTGCACCAACCATTCCACAAACAATTAACAGGCCCAATGCAAGAAAAAGATGCATTATCACAAACTAATTTTACTGTGGAAAAAAATATTTATTATTATTTATTTAATTACTTACTAAAATGTTTCTATATAAAATACATAGGTAGACCCGTAGACCTAATATAGAAAATCTACAGCTGATTAATAAATTGACAGTTAAAATGTTTATATTTATTAAATACCAATGATAATCAATCTTAGATAATCATACATATTTTCTTTTACATACAATATATTAAGAAATCAATATAATATTGTTTAATTAAAATGTATGAATTATAATACAAAACATCAAATAGTTAAATTATTGGTATATTTAGAGTTTTGAATTGCATCGATAATCATTTAATAAATTGACCTATAACGGTACTTAAGCCTAAACTTATATAAAAAAAAACCCATAAATTAATTAATATCGAAAGAAAAACAATAACATTTTTAAATGTTCCTTCCTCGCAATACTCATTTATTAGCCAGGTATATATTATATAAACATTTTTATGATAGAAATAAAATAAAATTAAAAAAGTTATTCTAATCAAAAAACTATATTATTTAGGTTTTTCCTTCAAAATGTACTAAAATAGGTACTATTGGTATTGTTTGACACTTTTATATGAACTATAATATGCTCATATAGTCATATAGATAATTCACTTGTACATAACAATAAGTTGTAGAGATATTATAAAATAAACTTTTTTATAAAATATTTGCTAAACATTTGAAAACTGAATAGTTTATATGAAAATGCTGATTTAGAAAAATTATAATAGTATCCGAATCCGAGGACTGTTTCTTACCAAAATATTCTTTAACTTTAAGCAATAAAAAGGTAACTATTCTATAAAGTATAAGTTGTATGTTATTTTTTTTAAGTTATAGAGGTATTCAATTGTATGTGTTTACTAAACAATGTCTAATAAATAAGCAAAGTTGAATTTAATGAATAAAAAAATGAAACATCTATTCACTTATATGTAGATATTTAAAAATAAGAAAGGGGGGACGAGGTGGCCGAGCGGTCTAAAGCGTCGACTGCGGCGCTGGCAGTCGCGGGTTCGCCTCTCGACCACTGGGCGGCATTTTTCTCCGGGCAAGTCACGGTGTCCGGAGTACAAGTGCCGCCATCCCCCAACCCGGGGCATGGCAGAAACCTACGGGTGCCCCAATAAAAATTCTGCCACCACAAACACACACGTGTACCAACCTACCCAATCTAAAAACCTACAGTTCCCTACCAACACCCAATGGCCTATGTTGCCGCGGGTTATCCAATAAAAAAAAAAAAAATAAGAAAATATATCTAATTTTTAAATTATAAAAATTAATTTAATATTAAGATATTAATAATTATGAAAATAGTATTATGAGCTATAGCTTTGGAAGAAGCACGTAGGTAGTATAAAAAGTATATACCTAGGATATATAAATAATGTGCATACAATATTAAAAGTGTACAAGTACAATGTATGTAAATAATAAATAATAAATTAATTAACAAATGCACCTATAATATAAGGAGAAAAATAGATAGCCTTATAAAAGAATGTGTGTGCAAAATAAATGTCAAATTCTGAAAAATCCAATTTCATCTCCCTAAATATGCAATTATCAAAAAATATTTGTTACGTACATTATTATATGCACAATAACGTTTAAAACATGTAAAATTAGATTTCGTATTTATAATGGTGATGACTGAACATTTTGAATTTCCCTCATTTTGAATTTGGAATTCAACTTGATACAAAATCATTAATTTTAAGTCCTAGATTAATTACATTTCAAATATAAAAAGGGGGACAAGTGGATGCCGCTCGTGTTTCCGCAAGTGGATAGTTCTCGAGCATGTCATCGTAATGAATATTGTGTTAAATTGTAATTAAATGATAAATCATTGCAAACGAAAAACAATTTTCAGCGGATACGTTGTGTTATCCTATACCATACTTGTATAAGTAATTTAATAATCAAATTTAATAATAAAAAAACAATAATGATAATCGAAAATATCACAAGGCTGATGGCTATAAATAGCCACATTCCGGTGACCTTTTTTTTGTTGATAAAGGTAGAAAAACTTTTTGGGAACCTTCTATTAAAATTTCTAATGTTAGCTATAAAAATAAAATTATTTATGAATTTCCTACGGAAAAATCATTTACAAAATTAGAAAAATATATGAAGGCTATAAATACCACAAAAGAAGTCAAATGAAAAAAGAAAATTTTTCCATGAATATTAAATGCTAATATAAATATTTTGTGAACATTTCAAGTGTCTACTGTTATAAGTTTTTAGTTAAAATTACAAAATAAGTTAGACATAGTTACAAGAAACAGTTACAAAATAATTAAATAGGTTGATAGATTTATTGTTATTTCAAATAATATAGAATTATTTGAAATATCAAAAATTGATTAATTGGAATTCGTTAATTTACCGCCGAATATCAAATATCGTAAACATTTTAAATTCAAACGTTTTAGATTCTGAGCGGAGTGATGCATGTATTGATTTTATAATAATGTGTTTTTTGTTTTAATTTTTCAATTTTAATTTGTGTTTGTCATCACTTTTTAGCAAAAATACTTAGATTTTCTTCAAAGAGCACCTTTTCTGATTGGAAATAATGAATATAGTTGATACATTTTTTTTTGTGGGGGGGAGGGGATGGTTAAACACTCGAAAGTATTTCCCAGTAGTTTTTTATCACAAAAATTATTTAAAAAATTATTTCAATTATATTTTAATCCATAAGATAATATTGTATATTACTTTAGATTTTTGCAACATTGGATATTGACTCGATTTCTCATGGTACGATTTTCTTTTTGTTGTAATTCAAAAACGAATAACTGTAGTACATTAAATTTACACCGCATGTTTATTTTATTAATTCCCAAACTTCATAACATTTTGAAAACATTTTGACTATTTTTGAGCTGATGCGGACATTTTCAATTTTCAATTTTTTTTTTTTTATTTGTCAATACAATTTTATTTGTTGCGTCAAAAATTGTCAACATTTAATACAAGGCTCCTGATATATTGTTGCTATAGCAGTTGTAAGATATTAAAAATATAAGAAACAGTTTTCTTTTACAAGCATTTAAATTTACCAAATTTTGAGTAAATTTATCAAATTTAAAATTTAAAAAGGGTGGGCAAGTGGGTGTTACTCTGTTTTGTACAGTAGGTTACAAATGGGTCACTGACCTTTATAATGGATTGCGTTAAATTTGAATTCAATGATATAATATCATTGTATAAGAAAAACGATTCTGAGCGAAGAAGCGTTCAGTAAGTACTATGATATTACTAAGTATATAAAGTATATTTGATAATATTATTGTGAATAAAGTAATTTTTATAATGTAACCTATTTACGTGGAACCTTGTTTTAAATTTTCAATCCTATTAGCTATAAAAGTTGAACATTTTAAAATGTTTAACTACAAAATAAATATTAAATTTTAAATTTGATAAATTTTGTCAAAATTCTAACTTTAAATGCTTATAAAAAAATATTGTTCCTATGTCGTTTTAATATTTTTCAATTGATATTGTAGCAATATATCAGGAGCCTTGTACCACGCTTTTTTACCCAACAAATAAAATTGTATTGACAATTATAAAAAAAAAAAAACTAAAAAAAAATTGAAAACTGACAATGTTCGTTAACAACTCAAAAAGAGTCAAAATATTTTCAAAATTTTATGGTGTATAGAAAATGAAAATATGAACATTTCATGCAATTTTCATGTATCTAAAGTTATTCATTTTTGAATTACAACAAATTTTGTTGAACAAAATAACAAAATCACTACGTCATGAGAAATTGAGTGAATTTCCAATTTTGTAATAATATGAACTTCAAACGCTCATAAAAATTTAATTTGATTTGCTTGTAGACATTTTAGATTCTGAGTGGAACGATGAGTATATTGATTTTATAATGTGTGTTTTTTTTATTTTTTTATTTTTGTGTCCGTGTACACGATAAGTAGTCGAAATAATGCTTCGATTTTCAACTTCAGTATCTTGTTCGACTGGAAAGTGAATATCATTGGTGCATTGGGAAGGTCAAAATTTTAAAATTCCCAGTAATTTTCAAAAGCGCCAAGAAAAACAAAAGAAAAATTAGGGAAAAACGGAATTTTCGTCATTTTTACGTATTTTGTCAAGATTGGAATTTTGAATACTTATAAAAAAAAATTGTGAGCATGGATTTTTAATATTTTTCTAAGGTCATTGTAACAATATATTAGGAGCCTTGTATTAAATTTTCAAAATTTTTACCTAACAAATAAAATATTATCAATATTCATAGAAAATAAAACTAACAAAATTTAAAACTGAAAATGTCCGTGAACAGTTCCAAACAAAACAACATTTTTTGAAAATTTTATCATTTATATAGAAAATGCTAATATAAATAACCAGTGACAATTTCATGTATCCACTGTCATTTGTCTTAGAGTTACACCAAACACCAAAATCGATTTTGTCAAAAACCAACTTTGCATATTGGAATTTTAAAATTTTACCTTCCCAATATAACAACTAGATTCACTTTCCTATCGAACAAGATAATGTTGAAGGAAATTGAAGCAGTTTTACTGTCCCAAACAGTGATGACAGACACAAAAAAAAAAAATATTTTGTAGGAAATCCCCCTAATAATTATTTAGACATACTATCGGTTTTTATACTAGTGTTCTTCATAACATTTTTATTTTTATAAGAAACGAGTACCTATTTGTTTGCTCTTTTAAATTGTGAATACTAGGTCTCAAAAATGTAAACGTAAATCCTTACAATTTTATGATGGTTAGGTATGAGATAAGTGAGTACCTATAGTTCAAAGTTACAACTTTCTTGATTAATTTTGCAAATGTTTATAAATATATCTAATAAATACAATTTGTATTTCAAAAAAGCTTTTAAATATTTTTGTTTTTTTATATATTCTGTACATTGGTATAAGACATAGGTACTGATAGTATTTAT